CTTCCCTCCTTCCCTCCTTCCCTCCTTCCCTCCTTCCCTCCTTCCCTCCTTCCCTCCTTCCCTCCTTCCCTCCTTCCCTCCTTCCCTCCCTTCTTCGCTCCCTCCCTCTGCTTCCTTCCTTCCTTCTTTCCTCCTTGTCCGTCCCTCCTTCCTTCCTTCCCTTTTCCGCCCCTCTTTCCTTCCCTCTCCGTCTGCTGCGTAACAGTAAGAAGACAACATGTATCCATAGGTGCAGACGCAGAACCCCAAAAAAAGTCTGTAAAAAGGATAACGGGCCCGGAATGAAAAGGAACATGTCCACATGCATTTTTGGGGCCCGGCTGTGTGCGTTCAGACAATCTCTTTGGGTGTCAGCACTTAAGCCAATTCATCTGCCATAGAAAATCGTTCGGCAATGGTTTCCCTGCTGTTGGTCGGATTCATAAATTCTGCGGTTTTTGTATCGTCGCGAGAAACGCGGAAGGGTGTAGAAGAACATGCTCAGATGGAGTTTGGCTACACCTGGCCTTGTCTGCATACTGTTGGTCCGCGCCTAAAGGCATTTGGGCAATCTGCGGCCTTTCCCAAACACGTGGACATGGCCATTTTTGGCATCCAAACCATGTGCCTGGCCCAGTTTTGAAACGAGAAAGGCCTCAAGCCCTCAAAAACCAACTGCAAATTCAGTACTGGCCCGTGCCTAAATGCATTCGACTGTCATTCCCTGCGAAATCATGCGAAATGAAAGCATGGCATTTTTTGGTGTCTGTGTTTCATGACAACACCGAAACCATACCAAAGCCAAACCAAAAAATGTGAATAGGCGGGTGTGTTGCGACCAACCACGATCTGCCTTTGACAGTGGAGGTTGGCCGACTTCAAAACACTCCGATTTTTCTTTCGGGTTGGTTTTGCAGAAACAAACATAGACTCCCCCAAACGTCTACAAAAAAGCGGCGTTAAGCCCGAACGGGGACCAGAATAGAGAGGAACTCGTCCAAATGCAATCTTGGAGCCCGGCTGTGACAGCACGCTTTTTCCAAAGCCAAATTGCATCTGGCCCTGTCTGGAAAAAGACAGAAGCACCAGAAAGCCAACTGCAAATGCATTTTTGGCTCGCGCCCAAACATTCAGGTCCAGGATGGGAGCATGGAAATTTCAACAGCTGCAGGCCTTCCTTCCTTCCTTTCGCCCTTCCTTCCTTCATTCGTTTTTTTTCCGTACTTTCCCTTGCACGGAAAAGTATTCTTGCGATTGCTAAGCTTTTGTTTAATGATTAGCATCCCGCATCCAGAGGGCCTGCGACGTGGACCCTGGAAGCTGTCACGCCCGCCTGGATTGCCAATTGTCTCGCACCTGTCTCCCGCTGAAAGAAAAGGTGAGCACCTGGTGGACTCATTTGTCTCCCGCTTATCTCCCTTGGTGAAGTGAACAGTGAGAGACAACCTTTAGAGTAGTGCCGCCGAGAGAAATCGAAACGAACGTCACAGAATCCTGTTCTTTGAGTAAATCAGACGCCCCAGATAAAGAAAAAGCGATTCCAACTCCAGGCCACTCTAAGCCAGCTTCAGTGCACTCGAAGACCTCTGCGCGGTCGATTCTCGAGAGCTCATCGAAGTAGGCACTGGCCTGAAAGAGCGGCCTGTACTTGCTGATGAGGCTCTGGTTGTAGGTCTGGTAATAATCCAAAGCCAGGCCGGTGTCCTCTCGCGGTTTCCTACACAGCAAACCTCAAACATACCCAAACCAGTGCAGACACGCGTCAACACACGGGGTTTGCGGCAGAGCTGAATTCCCCCCGCCCCCTCCCCCCCGGCCCTCCCGCACCTCGTAGGCAGCGGCACGGACCGCTAAGGACACGGCCAGGTTCTGTTCGCTGAAGTAACCCATGCCTCAGATTTCAACCATGGATTCAGCTAGGGCTCGGGTTTCTGAATTCTGATGTCTTTGGCTTGTTTAAGCAAGTGTTCGGGGCTCGCGGAAATTGATTTCTGGAGCATGTCCAAGATGCTCCCGATATCCTCGGGGGCTGTCAAGGGCGTGGCCGCCCGAAAGGCCAGATGTGTATGCCTCGGAAGTTTAGATGTGTTCGTCGCTCACTCTCGCACACGGCAGGCAAGGTCCCTGTACATCCAGTCAGGTCAATTTAGATGGGTTATGGCTTGGGGCTTCGGGCTTAGGGCTAAGGGCTGGGGAGTTGTGAGGGGCAAAGAGAAAAGAGAGCAGCATGCTCAGCAGGGCCCCAGTTGCTCATTCCTTCCCAGGGGGCTGTCGAGGGCCACATGGCAACGAGCCTCTGCGGAGCAAGGCCTAACCGTGTTGCCTCGAACTGTTTGGGGCACACCATCGGGTTCACGGCCCAGGATCCCAGTGCCCTCGCCCTCGGCGCAGCCAGCGAGCTGGCGCAGAGACTCCATAAAGCTTGCCGTGCGGTGCTGCAGAACCACATGGTAGCCCAGCTCCTCTTCTAGTAAGGTGGCGGCGATCCTCAGACAAGCTCTCAGACGGTTCTTGTGATACACAAGCTTTTCAAATCTCCCTCGGGCCTGAAGCCTGACTTCAACATCCGAACAACAGCTCCTGTTAAAGGCGCCAAAGACCCTGAGCACAGCAAAGCACAGCTGAACAAAAACGAAAACGATGCCTTGGCTGTTGAACTTTGGCCCGAGGGTCCGTGACAGGAGGCGGGCCGAAGGCCAATCATACTCCAGAAGGCCCAGGGGCAAGTGCTGGCCATCGTCGTCCTGGCGCCAAAAAGACTGGCTGAGGGACTGCTTAACCACCTGTAGTTCGTTCGGACCATCTTTGAAATATAAATGCCAGATGACCCCACATGTCTATCTTCATTCAGGGCGGTTGCATGGGCGGTGTGGGCAGGGGGGTGAGAGGCGGTGCGGGCGGTGCGGGCGGTGAGAACGGGAATAGGCGGGACGAGTGTGCCGCGGACGAGTGTACCGCGCGAGTGAGCGACTTGGCACGGGGCGAGGCGTGGACCGTTAAACAGGGATGCATTTACATCGAGAACGTGCCGAGTTGATGCACGAGCTCCGTGGCACATGTGGCACGAAGCATGTGGACCAGCAAGCACAGCAGCAATGGAAGACGTAACTCTGTTTCACCTCCAGAAGCCAGTCTTGAAAGTATCGCTCAAAGCCCTCCTCCTCCTCCCAAGTTAAGTTGCACCAGAAAACGTGATTCTGCTTTACAACTTAACTCCGGCAGCCAATTTTATGTCATTTGGGTCACCAAAAACAGCACGGTCACCAAAACGGATACTCGCAACACCGGACCTCCTTTGTCGGCATGCATCACAGAACTTTATCCACACCATATGCATTCTTGAAAGTTCGGAGTTCCGTCACCGCGATATCTGCCAAGTTTTCCGTCAAATCCCATCACCACGATATTGCAAGTGCGGAAATCTAGTACCACGGTGCTTGCGCAGTTTTTGGAAGCGCGGTGCTTGCAAGGATTTTGCTGCATGAAACTCAGGTGCAACGACGTTTACAAGGTTTGTGAGACCGTGGAACGCACTTAAATACCACGACGATAATACTTTTAATACTCCGATAATATTTGAAAGCGCGTAATACGGTATTTGTGGAGTTCTCCTGCAAGCGCGGGATGTGTGAGGTGCTTTTCTGCAAGCGTCAGAATTTGGGCACCAGGGTATTTGCGAGATTTTAGCAAGCACACATGTCGGGTACGGTAATTGTGAAGTTCCTGGCCTGGAGTTCGAGCACCGCGGAATTTTCATGGTTTTGGGAAGCGGGGTTTTGGCAAGCACGCGAAGTTTTTGGCAGTATTCGAAAGAGCAGAAATCGGGCGCCTTGTTGTTTGCGAGGTTTTTACCAGCGCAGTATGTGCGACCACGGTACTTGCTTTCGGCTCCAGCAAGCACCATAACAGCGAGGCTTTTGCAGGGGCGCCGTGGAGTTTGCAAGTTTTTGCAAGCGAGTATGACTTGTGAGGTCTTAGAGGTAGCGGACTTTGAACACCACAATATTTGCGAGGTTGTTGCAAGCGTGGTATTCGCGTCGTGCCTGAAAGCGTGGAATTCAGTCACATTCGGGCGCCGCCTATTTGCAAAGCTTTTGCGAGGGCAGAATTTGAGCACCTCTGTATTTGCAAGGCGTTTACAAGCGCGCGGAACTCGAGCACGTGGCGTTTGCAGGCGTGGTGTGAGGTTTTGCACATGCTGAATTCGAGAAACCTCTAAGCCTCCAAGCAGGACAAACGCCCAACGCCCAGCGCCCAATTTCAGCGCCGAAGTGCTTCGCATGCGGGGGCGGCGCGCCTACCCGAGAGAAGAGCAACTAAGAACTCCACACGATGATGTAATAAAGAATATCGCAGGATAAACAAAGCCAAAACAGCACAACAAGCAAACAAGGCAGAGCGCAGAAGCCGAACAGCAGGAAACGCAGAAAGCACAGGACAGATTCCGAAAACAAGCGAAGCAAAAGCAGAACACAGGCAAGCCAAGCAGCAAATAGGGGGGAAACAGATGCTGGCAGCTGACCTCAGTCGACCTGGAGCCCTCCTCCAACCTCTTCAAACCTCACGACGTCCTGGAGATAAGAACGTTTCGCCGCGGGAACCCCATTCACCAAGCAGGCATGTGAAGTCGCGTTTGTCGTCGCCACGGCTCCTGGGATTGGACTTGATTGGAGCAGTTCTGCATTTTCAAGTTGCCCTTTGCATGTGAATGAAAGTAGAATACTGCAGAAAGCTTTCCTGCTGGCAGCCCTAGACTCTGACGATGCCCAGGAACAAAGCCGCTGCCCACAACGACATGGACAATGACGGATTCCATCACCCACTAGCTGGGCTCGGCTCCCACGGCTACAGCAACTTGAGGGAATTCTTCAGGCAACATAGAGAGATTTGGGTGGTTCGGGCTCACATGAAGCGAAACTCCCAGTGTGTGGATGGCACCTTGCTCAGAAATTCTCAGAAGATGCCGGACAGTCAGTCCAAGTTTGCACGGCACGCCGTGTTTGTTGTCCTCTGCTCCCGAAGACTCGCGATTCAACCTGTCACGATGGAGGCTTCACAGTGACATCAGGCACGGCCTGCGCGAAAATCCCGGGTATGGGCACTTGATAGCCTTGTTTGTAAGCTTGAAGGCATCATGCGAGTCCCAGTTTCAAGACATACCTGGGAGCGAAGACCAGGACACGTTCCGCAAAGTCCGGACCCACATCCGCCGGGGCACTGCCTGCCTTCAATTTGTGCGAAGCCAGTCGGTTGCCGACAGGCTACTCGCCCAAGGAAAACATGTAGGCTAGGGGAAAGTGCGGGCAAAGCCACGCGGGTCAGAGTTCGGATGCGAGTGGGTGCGTGCAAGTGTGCGTGTGTGCGTGTGCGTGTGCGTGCGCATGTCCGTGTGCATGTGCAAGACCATTTTATACTTTTGTTTACAATTCGAAGCCCACATCGGAGCTTTCACTGAATGCACTGAAGGACACATCAGCGTCCAGCAAGGCTTCCACTGCGGTCTCCAAGGCCGCGGAGTCTGCAGAAAGACTTTGCATGCAGGGCCGCGCCTGCAACGGCTGCCTTCGCCTACTGAGGCGCTCGGCCATGAGCTTGGCCTGCAAGTCCAGCTGCCGCGCGTTCGAGCTCCTAAAGGCATCTAGAGATGCTGACGGCTGAAAATTTGGGAGAACCTTGTCGTTTCTAATGCCCGCCTAAAGCACACCACATGACCGACCTAATTGCCTTCCTTCCGGATGAGCTCCTGGGCGTGAAGGGCACAGAAATCTCGTGAAAAACTGCCTCCAGGACACACGCATAGCGCGCCCTGTCGAAGCCATCTAAGTGCTTCGAATGCATGAGCTCGAAGCCTTGCGAAGGGATCTGAAAAGAGTCCTCCGTGACCACAGGCAGGACGAAGCTGGAACGCAGGAGGCTCAGCTGCAGCAGCCACGTGACAATCTGCCGTGACTCCAGGCAACCCGACGTGCACAGCAGAAGTGCAGTCGCCGTCTCACTTGCAGAGCAGCAGTCGGCCATGTCCCCAGACCGCATTACACGCAAAGAGCCTTTGAGCGACAGCTCCCTCATCTTGGCAGCGAGCATAATGGTGAGGGTGTAGGCGGCCGCCTGGGCTTCCATTTGCGTCGTGTCCGCCATGATGAGATAGACGGTTTTTGCGGTCCTGTCAACACTGACATGTCGACTGACGTCTCGATTGACCTCCACAGCAGAGCGACGCTTTACGTCGCTGTCGACCAGCCAAGAGACAGTGCTCGTGAAGATCTCCGGATCTGTACAATCTAGGATGTCAAAGCGTTCAACAGAACTCAGCCAGACGAGTGTCTCTTGAATCTGTTCGAGAGCAATTGCATGAGTAGCAAGCTCGTTGATGCGGGGCACTAACGTCTCGTAAGCTTCAATGAACTGCTTGTCAGGCATGACGAAATTGGGAAGGCAGAGGAACACGACTTTCACACCATGCACCTTGGCCGCCACCAACTCGCCTACCCGCCATGCACTTGCCAGAAAGCCACGGCTTCCAAGACACACCACCGTGTCGACGTCCCGCGCCACCCGCGCAATGCGGGCGTGCCGATCGAGGTCCTCGTCCAAAGCGATGAAGGTTTGGAAGCCATGCCTCTCGAGCTCCAGCTTGAGCAGCCGGGCAAAATTCCCCGTTTCGGAATGGTAGCTGAGAAAGAAGCGGAAGTGCCGCTTTGAACACTGGCGCTGAGCAGCAGCGAGCACAATCACGAGGCTCACGGAGAACATCAGCCCAGCAGCCACAACACAGATAACCATCAGAACCTGGCCCTCCTCCATAGGAGTGTAGAACTTGCCCATGTCCAGAACCAGCAGCAGTCCCGCATGCAACATCACATCTGTGTAGGTGGCCAGCTGCGTGCGCCACGGCTGCCAGTAGGCTGTCCCACACAAGGTGACGTAAAGCGACGTGCAAATCATCAGCAAGCTGCCTGCCTGTGACGTGATCAAAGGCGACAAAGTCATGAGGACGTTGCGAACCAGGACAACGACCAGGAAGGCCTCCATCCCGGGCCGAGATCTCATAATGAGGAAGGAACAGGCAATCACAAAGTCCACGTCAGCCCTGTGAATTCGCTTTGGCAAATCCACAAAAACAATTCGGATGCAAATGGCTAGAAAGGCCAAGGGGAGCAGGCATAGGACCCAAGCCACAATGCAGATTTGTAAATGGTCACCACGGTAGTTGCAGATCACATCATGGCGTGACTGCATGGTTCGAGCACCACCTGGATGGAAGTTGCAATAAAACGGTTCCAGGATCGAGGACATAATTGAGATCAGAAAAAGCATGGAGAAGGAGCCGAAGGTCTTCCCCAGCAAATCAAGCCGTGGGCCACCCCGCATCCAGCAAATGTAGGCAAAGTGCACGAGCAGCAAGGCGAAGGTGACGGCCATAGGTAGCAATAGCGCGGCCGACACGTACTCTGCTAAAGCAGTCGTTGGGAGGACACACTGGATTGAGCTGAATGACGACACCGCCACATCCAGCGCGAGGTACTCCGATGCCTTCAACATCAACAAGAAGGGCTCCTGAGCCGACAATGCTAAGCCAGCAGAAGCACAAAGAACGAGATGATAAGCCACTGATACTGCCCGTGACTGCATCCCGCTATGGCCCAGCCCAAGCTGCACCGAGAGAGCGAGAGAGCGAGAGAGCGAGAGAGCGAGAGAGAGCGAGAGAGAGCGACAGAGAGCGAGAGAAAGCGAGAGAGAGCGAGAGAGAGCGAGAGAGAGCGAGAGAGCGAGAGAGAGCGAGAGAGAGCGAGAGAGAGCGAGGCGACAGCGCGCGAGAGCGTGCGAGAGCACCAGCGACAAAGGGGAGAGAGAGAAAGAGAGGGAGAGAGAGAGAACCTGAGACCCTGAGACAGACACAGAGTAGTTACCAACAAGCTTTGAAATCGTTGCGCAATTGAAGAAAGCCAAATGATGACACGAGGCCTGCCAGGGAATGCGCAGCCGGCGTAAGATGCCAAAAATCTGGGCACAGGTAAGCAGCTGGTTGAAGCCCAAGCCTGCGTTTAACAGGCTACCACGTTGCCTGCCGTGACCGGCTGCTTGCTCCTCTGCAATCAAAGCTGCATGCGCACATCCCACGCATCCAAGCCCGAACAGGCAAAGGAAGCAAACGACAGCAAAGTCCGACGCCGCGCACACTCGGCACGCGCCATCTGCCTGCGGCAAGAACCCAGGCAAGCACTCGGCGCAGGTCAGGCTGCTGTTCCGGCGGCCGGGTGCGCAGCTGCCGGGCAAGCCCCCGGGGCAGCGGCGGCCGTTGCCGAAGCAGCGGTAGACGTGGCCGGGGTTTTCGGGAAAAGCAAAGTAGCCCGGGTCGAGCGTCAGGCCAGTGTGCCCCAAGCACCGCGCGCCCTCCTGGCACGTCTCACAGCGGCCCTGGTTGAGGAAACGGCCCTCCACGCAGGCACAGAAGGCTTCCGAGACGGCCCCGCGCACCTCGATCCACCGCGTCCCATTGGACGCCTCCTCTCCGGTCCCCACCAGCTCCTTCAGGTCAGGGCGCAATGTCACTTCCTCTGCCTTCATCTCTCAAGTTCATGTTTTGCTACCAGCCTTTTGTTCCAAGCTAGGTCTGCCCCTAAGGCCGAGGACGTAGGCTACTGTATGCTCCAACAGCAAGATTGTTTCCGTTCCCCCCTGCCTTTGTGGTCCAGCCCTCACCATTGCCACAGCTGCCGCACGCAGTGCTCGCAGTCTGCGTGCTAAAAGTGCCCAGGGGGCAGAGGCTACAGACTGTGGCACCCTGTGTTCCCGCCGTGCGGCCAACTGCACACAGCTTGCAGCTTCCTTGATTTGCAACGTCCTGATAGGTGCCCGGACGGCACCAAGAACAACGGTAAGTGAAGCCTTCACTATCCAGAAGAGGCTCCGAGAAACGACCCGATGGACAAACACTGCAACCCACAGCATCATCTCCGCGAGCGAGGAGGAAGTCGCCTCCTGGTTTGTTTCATGTCCAGAGAAGAAAACCAGTCAAGGCATGTTCATGTTCAAGACATGATCAAGACGTTGGGGAAGTTGGGGTTCAACATGCTTCAACATGCGCCGCCTGCATCAGCCAGTCCAGACCCGGAGTCGCACGCAGTGGGGATCCACGTCTTCCACAGGGACTCGCTGGAGCTGATCCAAGCGCAGGCCGCCCGAAAGATCTCCGAGCTTTTTGCCCCGGGGGGATCATTGGGCGAGACCCTGGCCTCTGCTAAGATTTCGTTCAGCTCTTCCAGGTCTTGGATATCAATGGCAAACCTTTCGATCAGGGTGTGGACCTGAGGTGCCTTGTCTTGAAGATTAGCACTGACCAGCTTGCCCACATATCCAGGCGGCTGTGCCGTCCTCCGGATACCCTCGGACCATTCACTCGCGTTGTAGACCGGTAGCATCAAAGGCACCATGTCAACATCAAACCTTCGCAAGGGCGACACCATCAAGACTCATGTTGCTAGACACATCCACGATTCTGCCCCAGCGAACCGACTGCGCTGCCGTTGAATTCTTAAAAGCAATTGTTGCTTCCTTGCTTCCTTCCCTGCTTCCTTCCTTCTTCCTTCCTTCCTTGACACGAAGTCCGGATCCCCTTATACCCTCCTACACCCCCCATTCCCAGTTACACGCGTGTGCATGGGTGGCGATTATTGACTCCTAGGAAGTGAAAAACTCCCTGTCTGTGCGAGCATGGTGCTCTCAGGGGTCCCTCTGAGCCTGGCTGGAGGAACGTAAACTTAAACTGTCATGGAAGCGGGAGACTGAGTATGCATTGAGGAAGGACACATCACGAATGGTAAATCTACACTTGGGCCACCCCCCTTTTGCATTTTGGAGTGCAATCAACCATCCAAATTGACAAAACCGCAAACCACAACCCAAAGAACTCAAACGAACACAACTAAACCCAACCACCCCCCTAATAAAGTAAGTGGCCATCTCCCCATGCCGAGCTGTGTTCCTTTGTTAGGAATGTTCTGGTGGCTCCCTCGGGGTGAGCAAGGTGAGAAGTTGGCAGTGCAGCACTTTCCCCGGGATTCACACGAAATAGCCAACACGATCTAAGGTGCGCCTCTCGCTCTTTCTCTCTCTCTCTCTCTCTCTCTCTCTCTCTCTCTCTTTCTCTCTCTCGTGCCAAGGAACCGGTAGTTCTCGGGCTCCCACCAATAGAAGAGCGTGCGGGCATTCTTCATTGTCTCGAAGAAAATGTAGGGGTCGATGTAACTGCCCAAGGCGAGCGGAAGGCCATGAGCCGTCGACCTGAGTGACTGAGTGCTCGGTTGCCCTGCCTCTGAACTTTCTTCCCATTCTCCAACTTTCCACTCATTTGATCATCTAATTCGGGCATTGATGGCTTCAAGGGAAGAAGAGGCCAAGGGCCAAGACAACGATCACAAACCCAATTTGGAAACCCAAAACAAATATGCATATGAAAAACCATGAACACTGTGCTGCAGGGTGACCAATGCATCATCTCCAGAAAAAGCTCACCTCCGAAGGTGACCGTTGGAATGCAGCTTGATACGTTGTGACGGCATGCAGGTGCGAGCCAAAAATACTCGTCAGGGCATCGAAGCCAATAGGTTCCATCAGCCGCTTGCGTGACTCCATCAAAATCACCTGTCCAATTTACATAGCCCTCCAGGTCTTCGGACGACAGTGTCCATGAAAACGTACGGTTGCAGGCTTCGAAATGCGAAATATTCAATGAGTCCAGTCCTTCAAAATACTTCCTCGGGTCATGGTGCGTCGTGTTATAGCTGCTGTATAAGTTCAAAATAAAGCCATCGGCCAGAGCTGCTTCCAATTCAGACCTTTTCATGTACATGTTTTCGCGGCTTTGGAATCCCATAGAGCCCAAATCGCGTGGACTGCGTTGGCAACAATCCTGCAACAACCTCTGCGGCCGAAGGAAACCCACCTCGTAAGGTGTCGGGCCGAAACCTGTGTCTAAAGCCACATGAGCTCGGTTCTCGCCAGGCACACACTGCTCTGCCCCCACGGCACTGGTATTGACGTCCGCACATGACAACCAGTATGCACCTTCTCGCGAATGCTCCTTCTGATACATGTAGTCGATGTGAAACCCCAGCTTCTCTGAAATTAGGATGCCAGCAATGCGCGTCAGTACTTTCGAGGAGGTGCGAAGATAAATCAGCAGGCCTATTGGAATGCCACGGCCCTGGTCATCTTCTATGAATGTACGATTTTCCTCGGCAATACCTGGCTCCAGGCACAATGGGTCCGTGGCAAACACTGGCCGCAGCAACAGCAGCACCAATAGCAGCTGGAGAAAACCCGGTAGCTTGGCACGCATGACTGCTCTACGTTGAAGTGTTGTTTTGTCTTTTTGTTGGACTTTCGTCACAACGATTCTTTATACATAATAATCGGCAATGCCTGCACCCACGACTCCCTGTGGAAAAATACACAAAATAGCACTTGATTGATACCTCATCTGGCCGAATACAACATCCATCTTGAGGCCAGAAATGCTTCGGCAGAGCATGTAATATTTCAAACTGAATTAAATAGAAGTAAAACTCAAAATCTCAAACGAGTACTGTATTTCAAACTGGTCAGGAGAAAAATTTTTGGAGTCATATCACACAGGCCATCTTCACCAGACACGGGGGGCGATACAAGGCGCAAACCGCAAACAATGCCTTTTCCGAAAGAGGGCGGCCTGTCATGGGGATTGCTTTTTTCATGGTGCATGTTTTGCGAATGTTGCGTGCACCCAGCATATAAGTCGCGATCATTGTGTCGAAGTACCCCATGTCGACGATGTTATTGTGAGTAAAGCTTTTGGTTGAAGCCAGCTACAGATGCTGAGTGGGATATGTTTCGTGAACCAAAGTGTTGAATGACCAGGAATCCACATGCCAGATGAGCGGGGGGCGGGGGAACATTGTCGAACCCTACTCCTAAACCTTATGCGTTTCTGGTTTCGTGCCAAGCCTTACACTTCACTCGCTGAACCTGTTCCTAAACTTGGACCTTATTCGTCTAAGATTTAGGCCAAAACTTCTTCGTATCAGGGCCTGCCATGAGAACTACGAAACGCGCAAACACACCCAAGTGAAAGATTTTTACATGGAAATATGGTATGTAAAAACGCAAGCCCCATGGCAGGCCCTTCTGTTCCGAAAACAGTCCCTAGAATATGCCCTGACTGTGGTGTTGCAAACCACAAAAAGCGAGCCGCAAACAAAACCGCTACCGCGCAAACAGTCAGGATTGTGGGGTTTCTCCCAAGCGCAACCCCAAACAAAGCTGTTACCCAAAACACTCCCCGGAATGTGCCTGATTTGCTAGAATTTTGTGTGCTACAGTATATGGGAGATAGTCGCGACGGGTTTGATGCGTTTGAATGTTCCGCCGCAATTTTTCTGTAGCTTGGTCTGGGTCTCACATGTTTTCCGTTGATTCCACGCTCTTCCGGATATGGTTTCTATGTCTGTTGCGGCTCCCTCTTGCCTCTTGTGTGCGCTGCTGCTGTAGGGTGACAATGTTGATGCTTGCCTGTGGTCTGGATGTCGATGGGGCTTGGGAAATGCTCGGGAGAGGCCCTCTCGAGCGTGGAATTACTTGGGCGTGCCACGAGGCTGGAGCTGTGGTTGACGAGGCTGGAGCTGTGGTTGCGACCAGCAAACCAACGGGACAGGGACCTCATCGCGGTGAATGGCTTGCCCGTTGCGGGGCGTCTCGCAGCTGGCGGTTGGCACAACGGCCGGACCTGGAGTGCTGCAACTGCCACCGTCATACGGTTGATCCATGGGCACAGCGTGCGGCGCAGCCCCGCTTCCCTTGTTGGAGTTTGTCGGGGTTCCTTGCCATCGCGGTTGCGCGCTCCTTCGCCGCCTTTGGCCGGTATAGCAATCGGGCTGGCGGACGCTGGCGGGGTGAGTTGGTGGTGCTGGGACCTCGCATGCATCTGCTCCTTCACGCGACGCTTGACATCACATGCACGTCCCCGTCCTTGAAGAGCCGGGCCTCGGCGACAAATTTATCTGTTTTTTTTTCCCGCGCACCTGCCCACCCATTTCTCCCCATGTCTCTCAGCGCACGGAGAAAAATCCAAATGTGCTTGCGGGATGGGAACGCAGATGAACATGTCTCTCCGTGCACGGAGAGATCCAGGTGTATGCTCGCAGCCGTAGTTTTTCGGTTCAAGGACACGCGGCACAAGTCCGGCACGATTTGCTTAAAAGGGGAAGGAGTGCTTTTCAGGGCCATCACGGCGTGAGTGCTGTATCTACATCGCAATCAGCAACGCCTCTTTCGGAAGAGCAAATGGCTGCTCTCAAACACGACCTGGAACAAAAGCTTGAAAAAAACACGAGAAAAATCGAGAAATACAAGGATGATGTGATCAAGGGTGCCCAATGGCATGGATTTCAAGAAGGGGTTTATGAAGCGTCCGTCGCTTGCAAGACCAACAAATTCCAGGGCGTGTGAAGATGCAGAAATTTGTTTGCACGCAAAAAGCAAGCAAGGCCATGCGTGAGGCAAAGTTGTGGGCCGCAAAGAACCGTTCGGCAACAAAAGAAACGAGGCCAGTGGCCAGCAAAATCAAAAAATGTTTACTCTTTTTATTGTTCGAGCCTTTTTCCTCCTGTCCACGCTGTCCCTGGGCAGTGGCGCCGCCGCCCAGGAGCAGGCAGCCAGTCACTGGATGCGGTTGACGAGGATGCCCAGGCAGGTGGGTCAAAGCCGAGAGCGAAGAGCGACGCGCGTGCGTCTTGAAGGGCCGATAGGACTGGAGGCTGCGCAGCATCATTCTGCAGGGAATGGGTGAGGGCTTGCGCGATCGGATTTCCACACCGGCATGGGGCGAGCTGGAGCGGGAAACGCAACAGGGGCACGGAAAGGCGGACGCATTGCTCAGCCAGCTCCCCCTCCTCAGCTTTAGCAGCGCCGCGAGCAAACCACGCGCGGAGGATCGTTCCGCCCGACCTCATCGCGCCTTGCTCCCCGCTAGGCTCGGAGGCTTGGGCCTATCCCAGGCCACGCGCCTCAGCACAGCGGCGTTTTGGGCCACGTGAGCAGATATGCCTTCATGGTGCTCCGGGAGCGCCACGCGCCTGGCTTTCCAAGGTTGCTCGCAACCGGGCAATCAGCGTCGACCCAGGCTTTCGTGCGTAGCGCGAACTGGTACAGCCTTGTAGCTTGGTCGAAGATCGGCGTCCAAGCGGCCGACGACACACGTCCCTGTTTGCAATGCCTCGTATTCACCCACCGGGCTTGCGGATCGCTGTCATTCGGGTCATTGCTATGCCGCCGTCTGCGATCTCGAGCGGCGTGGCAGCCTGCGCCAGCAAGCCAGCCGCAGTTTGTAGTGCTCGGCTTGCGGCCTGATAAACCCGGCGCATTCCCTCGGTTGGCTTCGCGAAAGCTGCGTGCGACCGCTGAGGTGCGCGGGCGACGACGGTTGGAACTGCAGAACCTCTGGGTGGATGGGACCAAATCGTTTTTTCCCTCCCGCCCTGCCGAAGCTGCGAGGCCGTATTAGCCAACCCGCTTCCAAATCGTAGGAACGGTATGATGAATATAAATCGCCTTGCAAAGGGTTGCTTGACATGCAAGGATGAGGACACGCCTGGAGCAGCAACGCACGGCTCTCCGGAAGGAACCCTGACCATGAAGCTCACAACCGGGCAAAAAACAAGCCGAAGGAGCCCAGCCCCAAACCCTTGATGTTAGCAATGGCGTCGGACACCGTTGGCAGTACAGGATCGGCCCCGCTTGAAATGAGTGCGGCCGCGATTGCAACTCTGGGTGCAAGTATGCGAACAGTCCCTGTCCTCAAGAGTCGGTACGCGTCTCCAGGACGAGTTGCGTCACGAAACCGCAGCTCGCAAAGAGTTGGAACAGCAGGTGGCTCGACTGGAAGCAGCTCCACTAACGCCCACCCACAGCGATGTGGACCAGACAGTCAAAGATGCAAATCAAACGGAAGGTTTGTGCCACCAGGCGTAAGCACCGACAAACATGCTCGGAGCTCAGCACTGCACGCCGGTGCCGATTGGCAGAATACGGCGTCGATGTTGGAGGACGCTGGGCTGTTGAGGCCGCCTCCTTCGCTTGCTTGCGCGCGGCCGCGCTGCGAGCGCGCCTGCCATCTTTCGGCCCGCCGCTCAAGCCGCCTGGATCCTGCGTTGGAGCGGCATGACTGCTGTCGCTGCCCCGCGAGCGCTGGCCGCCTCTGCGCTGCACCTCCCTTTTGCCAGAGCGCAGTGGGGGAGGTGCGGAGCCCGCTTTGCACGAGCTTTGGGTTGACATGCCCCGGGCTCAGCACCTGCTGCGTACTGCTCCGGCCGCAATACCAGAGCACGCACGCACGCACGCACGCATGACGATGCGGTCTGGCAAGCGTCCGCCTGGCGGCGACAAACTCAAAAAGCAAAAAAAGAAGAAGAAAAGAACACGAAGAAGAAGAAGAAGAAGAAGAAGAAGAAGAAGAAGAAGAAGAAGCAGAAAAAACAAAAAAAATGAAGGAGAAGGACAAAAAGAAGGAGAAGAAAAAGGTGAAGGGAGAAGGAGAAAGCAGCAGCAGCAGCAGCAGCAGCAGCAGCAGCAGCAGCAGCAGCAGCAGCAGCAGCAGCAGCAGCAGCAGCACCACCACCACCACCACCACCACCACCACCACCACCACCACCACCACCAGATGCAGGGCATGCTGGGCGGCCTAGCGGCTGATGCTGAGCCTGCGCAGCTCAATTGCCTTCCTGCCTGCCTGCCTTGGGGTCTGGGCCCCTTGCACGCGGAGCGCATCTCTCCTGCAGCCTATATTGGGCGGCATGGGCGGACGCACTGCCTGTGCTGCAACAGCGGTGTCCCGAAGCGGTCGAAGGGGCAGGTGCAAACGGCAGGCTGGGAGCTTTTCCTGTTGGCACCATGAATTCTGCTCTATCGAAGCTGTGGTTGACCACACCGCATCGCGCCAGAAGAGATATCCAAGCGGGTGCAGCTGCGTGCGTACCGCCGCTGGAGCGACCTGCTGGCGGAGGTCCGAGGTTTCGGCAGCTGACCCGTTTCCACCGCGGAAGCTTTCTGCCGCAAGTTCCC